TATTGGACATGGAATGTTAACTGTTTCTGCCAGACCTAAGTTTCCAATTTCCAGCATCTGTGGTATCTTGCTTTTAAATTAGTAAGGACGACTTTGACATGGTGCAAGAGGATTTATGTGCCACAGTAGCAAGGTCTTACTTCAATTGTATAGACTCTTGTTGACAGCACTGAATGTGCGATTGTAGTTCTAGTTCCTAGAAGGATGCATAGAAACACAGCAGCAGGCCATTCACCCCTCAAGTCCACTGCCACTCTAGATCATGGCTGATGACCTACCTCAAAAGCATTTTCCCATGCTCCCTCCAAATCCTTTGCAGTTATCAGTACCTTGCAATCTATCAATCTCTATCTTAAACATACTCAACAACATAGCTTATACAGCCCTGCGGGCTAGAAAGATTCACTATCTTTTGACTGAAGAAAACTTCATCTCAGTCTTAGATGGTTTGCTTTTTGCCCGAGACCACGTCCCCTGATTTGTGACACCTTCCCTAAACTCCAAGACTAGGGAAAACATCCATCTTAACAAGCCCTTTAAGAATTTTACAAGTTTCACAGAACGGTCCAGTCATTCTAGGAATTAATCTGGTGAAACTCCATTGCACTCCCTTTAATGGCAAGTATATCTTTCTCCAGCTAAGGGGACCAAAACTAAACTAAGTCTCACCAAGAGTCTATATAATTGAAGTAAGACTTTGCTACTGTGGGACATAAACCCTCTTGCACCATGTCAAAAATTGGTATTTTGCCTCCTAATTGCATTCTGCACTTGCGTTTTAGCTTTCAGTAACTGATGAACAAGGGCACCTCAATCACTTCGGAGTCAATGCTTCCCAATCTCTCACGATTTAAGAGATACTCTGCACCTCTGCTTTCTAACAAAGTGGATTACTTCAAATCTATCCACTTTATATTCAATCTGCCAAATTCTTGGTTACTCACTCAGCCTGTCCTAATCTCCTTGAAAGCTCTTTCCACACTCCTCACATATTCCCATCCAGTTTGTGCCCTGTACAAACACTGCATTTGGCCCCTCAAAATCACTGAGATAGATGGTGAACAGCTCAGGCCCAAGATCTTATGGTACCCCACTTGTCACAGCCTGCCAATCTGAGAAGGACAATTTATTTCAGCTGTTTCTCTTTCTGTTAACCATTCTTCTCCTTCCGTGCTAGCACATTACCCCTAACCTACATGTTCGAGTTGTTAATTGGTGTGGGACGGTTTCAAAACCTTCTAAAAAAATTAAAATCTATCACATCTACTGGCTCCCTCCCATCTATTTTACTTTGAAACATCCTTGGCTAGCTCAAATAGGTTTGTCAAACATTATTTTCCTTTCATAAATCTAGGTTGACTCTGCCCAGTTAATTATATTTCTAAGCATTCAGCTTCCACATCCATTTTAATAGATTTAGTACTTTCCCCATTAGACATCAGAAACTGTTCCCAATTTTCTCTCGCCTTCCTTAAAGAGAGCTGGGTTTCATTTGCACCATTACAATCTGTGGACACCATTCTAGAATGAATGCAACTTTACAAGATGATCGCAATATGTCCACTATGTAAACAGCCACCTCTTTCAGCACTGCAGATGTACAGTATCAGGTTCCAGAGATTTGTCAAGTGTCAGATTAATTTGGCGAGTGTTGCTTTTATTTCATAAATACTAATTTATTCCAGTTTCTCATTCTCACCACTCCCTTGGATCACTATTTTGCAAACAGTGCTCGTTTAAAAGTCATATTGTGCTCCCTCTACCCTAATAATTCTATTCATTTGTCCTTTCTCATTCCATAATACAAGATCAAAAACAGCCAGTTTCCTAATTCATTCCTCAAAATACTGCTGTAGAAAACCATGTCATGTACATTCTAGTTATTTGCCCTCTACAGCATTGGTGCTCATTAGATTTACCCAGTCTATGTCTAGATTGAAGTCACCCACGATTACTGCATCACCCTCATTAAGTACACCTCTAATTTTCCCTATTAAACTGTGCCCTAAATTAGGATTGTCTGGCAGCCATTAAAATTTTTCTACAAATTTTTCCTGCCCCTTGCTGTTATCCAAAATCTTCTCTCACTAATGTATTGATCGCATTCATTATCGCCCAATCTTTTACTGTTTGGTCATCCATCTTAAATGTCAAATATCCATGATTATGGAGTTTCCACCTTTGGTCACCCTGTAGTCATATCTCCATGATGGGAATTAAATCATGACTGTTTACCTCAATTTGTGCCATCAATTCACCTACCTTGCTGCAAATGCTACCTCCATGCAGTTGGGGCGCCTTCAATTCTGAGTTAACATTATTCTGTATTTTGAATCTTACTTGATGTTGGCATTTCTGCTTCCTTTCATGTTTGTTTACAACTTTTCTACTTCCCATAACTATTTTGGTTTTTGCCTATGAAATTTTGTCTCAGGTTCCCATTTCTTCAATGGCAGATAGTCCATTTAGTTTTATTCCTTTTTGACTTACGTAGAGGTTGGATACAACTGAATGGATTACTCAGCCATTTCAGAGCACAATTAAGAGTCAACCCCATGGTTGACATCTCTTGTACACCAGACCAGCAAAAACAACAGATATACTTCCCTAAAGGACATCAGTGAAACAGAAAGGCTTTTATATCAACTGATGGCAACACAGTAATGCAACTGAAATGAGCTTTTAATTCCAGACTTTTATTAATGGATTCAATTTAAATTCTACTTGCTGCCTTAGTGAGATTTGAACGATGCCCCATTGCGTTAGTCTGAGCTTCTGGATTATTAGACGAGTGACATTTACAGATGATTACCGAACTAGTAGATACAGTAGAATCAGACAAAGCATCTCAGGTTACAAAATTAACTGGACACGATATGTAAACAACAGAACAACGATAACTGAAGTTGAATGCTGAAAGCTATAAAATGCTACATATAGGATAAAACAGAAAAGACAATATGGGCATTCCTTGAACTGTCATATACTGTCACAGTTAAGAATATTGTTAGATAGATTTAAAAGTTCAGAAGAATTAGGTTTGACTTCTGTGGAAAAGTTTAATCATAGAATCTTTACGCGTTTTAAAAAATATTTTTGACCAGCCTATTAACTTCAGTAGGAAAGCATCCAGTTAATTTTGCATAAGGTTCTTTATCCACCTTCCAATTTCTGCTGCTCTGCCTTTTTAATCTAACATTGGCTCTTGCATTTCATTTACATCTGTCCTTCATTCAATTTAAGGTTTGAAATTATTCTTAGATTACTTTAGGGAGAGGTAATGTCTAGTGGTATTATTGCGGGACTGTTAATCAAGAGACCCAGTTAACATTCTGGGGACCCAGGTTTGAATCCTGCCTTGGCAGACGATTGAATCTGAATTCAATAAATATCTGGAATTAAGAGTCTAATGAAGACTATGAATCCATTGTTGATTGTTGGAAAAACCCATCTGGTTCACTAATGTCCTTTTGGGAAGGAAACTGCCATCCTGACCCAGTCTGGCCTACATGTGACTTCAGAGCCACAGCAATGTGGTTGACTCTCAGTTGCTGCCTAGCCAATGACGCACTCAACCAGTGAACAATAAAAAACTACTTTCCAAATTGAGTACTTTTCTATTATATCAGATTTTCCAACATCCATCCCTTTCATCAGTCTCAACAGTATTAAAGCATTTCATTATTCAAACTCCAACAAATCTTGCAGCTGTTCCATCAAATAAACATGGTTTGTGAATCAGTGCTTGAAATCAAATTATGGAGTTTTTTTTAAAAATACACTGTTTTGTAGAGTTGAAGATTCAGGCATCCCTCTACTGATAAATATAAACTATTTTTTGCTGCAAAAACATGCACAAGTACATTATTACAATTAAATTAACATATGAACAGTAGTCAATGTCAAGACAATTTGAGGAAACAACTAAATGCGAACAGAACATTGGAATATGTAGTCAGAGAACCAGACAAGTCAATGGAAGTTACACAAACAAGTTGTTAAAAAATTCTGCCTATCACAAATTAGTAATCTGATATGAATTTCAGTGTTGGCGTTATGTCATATTGCATGCACTGGAGAATAGATGTGTTGATACAGACGGCCCTGTTCTTTGCAGACAGTAAGAATACGTTTGCACAGCGTGCCTGTTTCAACTCAACAAAACAGGTGACAGTCATTTACAGGTTCATTTCTCAGGGTAACGCTCCAGAGTCAATCTAACTGGTTTAACATTGAAATAAAGCCTGGAAGTTAATGGTTATTCAAAACCAGTAAGTGTATCCTCCATAGTAACGTGTCTGCCAAAGTGCACATGGCAACAAATTACCACTCTGCTCTTGTGCAATATAAAAGTTGTTTTTCCACTTAGTATTCTTGTTTTCATTTTGTACAAACAATTCATTTTTCTTCCCCCCAGCAACGCAAGCTCTGTACAACCAAACGACTATTTCGCGCGGTACTTGTCAGATGAGAGTGTTGTCAGTTTTGGTCATCATAGCACAGATCTAATGTGCTGGAGCAGATAGAAGGGAGCAATATTCCTAATTCTATATTAATTTTGTTTAATTGTTTGCTGGTGATGGACATTAACTTTTGGCTTTATTAATAGATCAAGACAAAAAGTGATTTTTAGATTAGGAGCAGAAAGCTTATAACGTGTACAAATTAATATAGGTGTATGCAAAGATTGGTTCTGGTTCTATCTTTCAATTTGTTTTCTGGAATAGAACAAATACTGGTATTCCCAGTAAATCAGCCATGGAGGTAAGAATAGACAAATTTCTACCCTAGGTGGAGAAGGTAATATCACGTACCCACATCATTGTGAACAGAAGTATTAAACCAGAGAAAGTGAAGGCAAAATGTTATTTCCAAGTTCAGTAGAAAAGCATTACCCATCCCTAGAAAAAGTGGTGTGCTAATCAAGCCAAATTTCAGAAACAAAAAAACAAAAAAAAAAATTGAAAAAAATTAAGAACTTAAGAATATTAGTAACTTACTGTCTCTGTTCCCATGGTCTTAGCCCCCTTACGTCAGGATAGTAGTGGTTTCTCGTTCACTCTGAACAGCACCTTGGTGAATAAAAACAAAGCAAAACAATGTTAGCAGTTCATCCTCAGCTCTGCAGAAGCAATTGGTTTGTAGTAATTGGAAAAAAAAAATCCAAATCCATAATTTTATTCTCAACAATGCCAATCTTTCCCTCATACTTCATCTGTGCTTATCACAAGACACTAACAAGTTAACAGAGTACAAAAGAGCAAGCAAATAATGTCCAAAGAATTTGAAATGGTTGACCTCAAATTTTCTGTAGATTACTGATCAACCTCCTAAGCTCTAGCCTTCAAAAATGCATTTCAGCCAAACACATTAGATCTGGCACAAAGTCCTACTCAAATTTTATCCTAGATAAATTCATGTCCTTCAGTCAAAACCTTCATTCAATATATCCAACCAATCCCCTCGCCTTCATCCTTCTGGAATCCCTTCCAACCTTGTTGATACCTTGTGCTTTCTCACCTTTAGCAGACTGAACATTATCTCTCCCCACATCTACCATTTTTGTCAGAGCCTTCACCACTCTGGGACTTTTCTTTCACTCATGTTTCAATACGTCTCTGCCCACTATTGTCTTGCACGCACATTTACTTCTCCAATTCCACCTCAATTTTATGAGGTTTTGTATTGAGAATGCTGTATAGATAGATTACTGTTTGCTTTGGCATATTATATTTCCTTCCTTGATCTCTGAAGGTGTTATACCTGGTGTAGTATAGCTATATCAGTGCTTACAGCCTCAACCAACCATTAAGCTAGTGAAGTTGATCAACACTGCATCAATAGCTCAGGCCCTTCAGAGAACATCAAAACAAGCCTATAAACAAAAATTAATAATCTATCAAAACACAAAACTACTTTCCTTCATCTCAAAGCACTCTACTGAACTATCGATAAACCACAAGTTAGCATCTCAGCCTCAAATACCATTGACACTGAAGTTTAAATAAAACGGCAGATTCAGGAAATCAGAAACACAGAAATTAGCAGGAAAAAACTCAGCAGATCTGACAGCATCTGCAGAAAGAAAGCAAAGTTAACATTTTAGGTCCAGTAATCCTTGAAGATGGACCTGAGAAATGAACTCTGCTTTCTCTCCATAGATGCTGCCAGACCTGTTGAATTTTCTAGCAATTTCTGTTTGACATTGAAGCTTCCCGATGACAGGAAACCAATGGCCTGGTGTGAATTTGATCTTAGCTGTGATGGCAATTCGGGGAAAAGGACACAGAACGAAAGGGAAAAATTGCGGCACTCAATCATATGTTGAGAGTAACCATGAACTAATTGGCTAGAGTACCTCTCATTCATAAATGCACTTCAGTCAACATATCTTCTATTTCAGATGAATTTGCAGTTCACTTGCATAGCTTTCAACAGTTTCCAAACTAGAAGCAATGTCTAGGTATCAGGTCATACTTAAACATTATCAATTCTCATTATTTTGCAACCATGTAGTGCAGTTTTTATTTCCCTAAAACCTTTGTCATCCATCAAGAAACTACTTTTCAAAATACTTACCTCTTTATTACAAGTAACCTGCTGAAATTTACACTTTTCTTTAAAAAGAAACTCAGGCCACAGGTTTCGGTAAAATTTTGCTTACCTCTACCATTACAGCCTATGCTGTTTAAAATCCAGCCCTGGACACTCAAATTTTGATCATTTTGTTTAATTGCAAGCATCCAAAAGAGCTCTCTTGTGGGAGACAGTACGATAGCCTAGCTCACAATAACCTACGTCCCAATCTCCCTACTACTGGCTGCACTTAGCCAATCAAGGATCAACTAAACATTGAGATCAGCAGGAATAAACCGAAATTACCACATGGCAGTACGCGTGCAGGGACTAATACAACCACTGTACAATGAAAATCAGTATTCATTTACAATGAAGGTCAGCCTCAGAGTCTAAACAATTCCAGGGCAGAATTAATAAACACAGGCACAAAAATTTGTGTGAAATATTCTATTAATGTTGCTTTATTTTGGTAATATTTCAAGCTCGATTTTTACTACTTAACCTACTCTCTAACACATGTAATGGTAATTGCCAATTTTAGAATATCAATACATCTTGTGGAATGCAAAGTAGTATGGAAATTAAACAGCTCAGGAACGTAACACAGAAACTAAGATCTTACAGCTTTTGGGTTTTCTGTTTCTTACTATTCATATCTTACAAGCCAGTTTATAAAACAGATTCTACATTGGTATTCATGTCACTTCAACCAATTGCCATATTCCCTATATAACAAGGGCCATCAGAAATCAAACTTTTATAATCTTGCAACGAGTGCACAGCAGTCAGCACCACTGTGAAGCAGACTGGGAGCAGTGTGCAGTGAGTCAGATTTGCTGTGAAATAGACTGGACAGAATTCAGCATTAAGCAGTCAGTGAGCAGTACGTGAACTTGGTATAAAACAGTGCAAAAGGGGTACAGTAATCATTTTGTGCTACAGGTGAAGTAATATGACTGCAATGCAGGGTAAGCATGTCTCAGTCTTTTTAAAGGGTTAGTACAAGGGTTTCAGATAATGGGGGGTTGGGGGGAGGGGGGGGGAAAGAGTGATTTGAGAGATTAACAAATCATTTTTATGTAGCTAATTAAAATTTAACTTGTAATCTAACAGCCGACAGCAGGTAAGTCATGTCAGTTGGTGGGGCTTTGTGTCCTGCCTGTGAGACGTGGTCAATTGCAGGAAGTGTACCCAGCTTCAGCTGTTCACCAAACAAATGGATCGTCTTGAGCAGCTGGAGACAGTAAGGAGCTTGCAAATGGTAGAAAGTGTCATAGATGGCAGATATAGAAACATGGTCACACCCAAGGTACAGGAAGATAGATGGGCGACCACTAGACAGGCAGGCAGTCAGTGCAGGAAGCCCCTTCACCATGGCCCCTGTCAAACAAGTATTGTCCAAATTGGCACAATGACATAAAAAGCAGGACCTCTAGGGTACTAATCTCAGAATTACTCCCTGTGCGACGTGCTGAGGCTAGGAACAAGAGCCAGAACAATCAAACACGTAGCTAAAGAGCTGGTGTATGGAGGAGTACTACAGATATTTGGATCATAGGAATGTCTTCCAGGGAAGGTTCTATAGTGTTTCTTGGGAGGGCTGAAACTAGAGTGGCAGGGGGTGCAAGTCACTAAGTGTAGAGACTGGGGAACAGCTCGAGTCTAAGGCAAATGTAGCTAAGAGGAGAAGCAATCAGGGAGAGGTTGCTGAGCTCAGCGGAACTGGAGGCTTGGATTGTATCTACTTCAATACAAGTAGTATGACAGGTAAGACAGATTAACTTAGAGCCTGGACTAATGCATGCAATTATGGTGGCGTTATCATCACAGAAATATGGTTGAAACAGGGACAGGATTGGCAGCTTAACGTTCTGGATATTGACGTTTTAGATGAGACACAGTCGGCAGCAAAAATGTTTGCAGAGTTGCATTACTGGTTAGGGAGGACACCCTGGATCAATCTTGCAGCAAGGCATTATGGGTAAAGCTCAGGAAAAGGAAAGGTGCAATCACAATGCTGGGAATGTGCTACAGACCTCCCAGCTGCCACTGGGAGATAGAGGAAGAGATATATAGTCAGATTCTGGAAAGATGTGAAAATAACAGGATTGTTGTGATGGGTGATTTTAACTTCCCCCATATTGACTGGGACTTCCTTAGTGTCAGGGATTTGGATGGGGAGCAATTTGTTAGGTGTCAGGAGAATTTTTTGATAGTACAACGAGGGAGGGGGCCATACCAGACCTGATATTGGGAAATGAGTCCAGTCAGGTGATCAAAGTTTTGGTGGAGGAGAATTTTGGGAATAGTCACCAAAATTCTGTAAGTTTTTGGATACTTATGGATAAGGACAAGAACGGACCTCAGATGAAAGTGTTAAACTGGGGAAAGGCCAACTATAACTGAATTAGGCAAGAATTGGATAATGTGGATTGGGAGTGACTATTTGAGGGTAAATCCACATCTGACATGGGAGTCTTTTAAAGACCAGTTGATTAGAGTGCACAACTGGCAAGTTCCTGTGAAAATCAAGGACAGGAATGGCAGGATTCAAGAACCTTTGATGACAGGGGAAATTATCAGCTTAGTCAAAAAAAAAAGAAGCATACCCAAGGTCTAGGCAACTAAAAACAAAGTCCTTGAAAGAATATAGAGCAAGTAGGATGGTGCTCAAACAGGGAATTAGGAGGGCTAAAAGGGGCCATGAAATGTTCTTGACCAGCAGGGTTAAGGAGAATCCCAAGGCATTTTATACATATATTAGCAAGACTGTAGCTCGGGAAAGAGAAAACCTCTCTCCTTTATCCTTGAGTTGGCCAGGTGTGCAGCGCAGAAAAAGGGTGAGATCCTTAATGAGTACTTTACATCAGTATTCACCAGAGAGAGAGAGTGGGACATGAGGATGAGGTTGGGGAAAGGTGTGTGAATACTCTCAGGCAGGTCAATATAATGTGCGAGAAAGTGTTGGGGGTTTTGAAATACATTAAGATAGATAAGTCCCTAGGGCCAGACAGGATCTATCCCAGGGACGGTGGGAGGAAGGGAGGAAATAGCTGGGGCCTTAACAGATATCTTTGCATCCTCTTTGGCCTCGGGTGAGATTCCAAAGGACTAGAGAATAGCCAATGTTGATCCTTTGTTTAAGGAAGAAAAGAGAGATAATTCAGGTAATTACACGCCAGTGAGCCAGATGTGTGGTAGGGAAGTTGTTGGAGAAGATAACGAGAGAATGGATTAATTCAAATTTGGAAGTGAATGGACTTGTTGGAGATAAGCAGCATTGGTGTGTGTGGGGAAGATCACGTCTCACCAATCTGATTATGTTTTTTAAGGAGGTGACAAGAATGCTTGATGAGGAGTACCGTGGATGTTGTCTACATGGACTTTAGTAAGGCATTTATAAAGATACCTCATGGCATGCTGGTACAGAAGGTACAGTCTCATAGGATCTGGGGTGAGCTGGCTAGATGGAAACTGGCTTGATCAGAGTGAA